TTTTTTATTTAAAAATAATATAATTTTTTAGTTAAAAATAAAAATGAACATGTGATTATAATTTTATAATATTATTTATTTATTTATTTTCTTATTATTATTTTTATAAAATTAATCATTTTAGTAATAAAAAAATATATAAAATACACTTCATTACTTTTAAATATGTCTTTATTAATCATTATTTAATGTTAAATGATAGTAGTTAATTTTTGTTAACCAAACAATTATATTAATCAAAATCTCATTAAGTTTGACTTTTAATGTGGATGATTTTCTGTTTATTTTATCAGCCAAACAATTTTCTACTTTTTGCCAATAGAAATTTTTCTATTAAATTTGCGTTTCTTTAAATAGTTCTAAAAGTTTCAATTTTTTTCCCATCATAATCTGCTGCGATGTGATCTAAATGCGAAGGCTACATGTTCCAAAGATAGCATAGCAATGGATTTAAGTACCTTTTAAATCTCAACTATTGAAAATAGAGAGATTAATTATTGAAATACATATATATATATATGCACACACACATATATATATATATACACATGTATGTATGTATTAGTGCTTAACATTTCTCATATTCGATCACTCTGTAATGTGTTTGATTAGTTGATGCCCAACCTCAAGATTGCAAAGCCTTGGCCCATCCATGAGGCCGAGGTTTAATTGGCAGAGTATGTTTCGTTAAAAGAGCAGTGCTAGGGGCACTCGCCTCTTGCACTCTCCGGCCAACACTACCCCTTTCATTGGGCCACGTAAGCTTGTTTCAGGCTTTGAAGGCAATCTCTTACCGACCAGAGTAACGTGGCCCAATAGAAGTGAAAATGTTGGCCGGAGAGTGCCCCTAGCACTCCTCTTCGTTAAAAACTTGTTAGTTGTTACAAATATAACAATATGGTACCGCGCGCAAACATAAGGTGGAATATATATATTATAAGAAAATATGGCTTGATATATTTTAATTTACAGTCATGATTTTGATTAATGATCGTTGCTTAAGAACAAAGTTGAAATTGAACAATCAAAATTATTTTGTCTTGACCACATTCTCTACATGTAATTTCATGTACTGATATTTAAGGGTTTGAGTACCCCTTGTACTCACAATAAAATTCATTTGCTTTTCAAAAAAAAAAAAAAAAAAAAAAAAAGAACAAAGTTGAAATTGAACAATCAAAATTATTTGAATGGAGCATCTATTGGTATAAATAAGTAGATTCTTGTCACTACAAGTTAGATATGGTTGTCCTTCAGTACCAGATGCAACGTTGCTTGCCTATTCAGATGGAGAGACGATTATCAGGTAATATCACTAACTTCGCCGCCTTTTCCACCAAGAGGAAGGAGTGATACGTTGTGGAGCAGGTGGTGTGAGAATGTCTAGCATGGTTTCCTTCTCTTTTGGGGCTAATGGAATACCTCTAAGAAGGTTTTAAAGCCATGATATGGACATTAGTTTTTTGCCTGTGCTTCTGGTAAGCCCATATGCCTGCAGCAGCACCCGCAACTAGAAGCTGTCCACAAAACTCAATTTTAAGTATGTACAGAAAGACTCACTACTAGCAAGTGTCAGTGCTGATAAAGATTTTAACTGACCGGTGATAGCCACAAGGCTGCTGTCTTCATATCAAACTTTGGGGCATAAAGTACTGTCTCCCCAAAATCCTCTTCAAGCTTTTTATAAATCTCTTTGTCAGTCTTTCCAGCTTGAATTTCATCACGAATCAATTGCAACAATAACGTTAGGATCAGAATTTTCTCATTTGCGAAGTTGCTATGAGATTACAAGGGAAGCATCAAGAAGCTAAAATTATCTAGAAAGAGTTCAGAAATACAAGTAAACTTGGACAAAAATAATATCTTTAGGAGAGAGAAGTAAATATAGTCGATTCACAACCCAAATTCCATCTCCACAACGAATTAACATTGAAGAATATGTACTTTTTGTTGATGATAACTATGGAAAGGTAGACAGAGCACCATAAATTTTATGGGATACCAAAAGTTTGGGATTTTATAAACAATAGAGAATATCAATATTGTCTAGGAATAAGGCCAAATTGGTGGTGGGGCAGTCTGGAAATTGGCCTAAAGCTTACTTTCACTCTACCACCTAAACTTGCTTACTTAAGATGTATCCAAATTTTTTTTAATGCTGACCAATGACCAATTAAGGAAGCTAAAAGTGAAGCATAAAAGAATTGGATTTAACAATTAAATTGCTCATAGCAGCTGAAATACAAGTTCTCATCATGATGAAAGATTTGAAAAACTAAAAGGCTTTTGCATTGTAGAATATACATGGGCTCTGAACTTTGGTCTAGAAAAATGACTATAAAATTGCTCTTAAAGTTAACAGAAGCTGATGGAAAGGCATCTAAAGAGGTGATTTGTAGATGTTAATGAATATAAAAAGACAT